CCAACGGGTACCAGGAAAACTTCCGAATAGTTGAACCGCAAGAATGCACCACTCGATCGGGGTGCAAATTCTGTTGATGAAAATCGAACGGGAACACGTGACTCTACGCCGATACCGTGGGGTGTTTTAATCTAAAGAACTTTTTACATGTAACTTGTTTGCTACCAAATGCGGTGTTGGAGTAGTGGGAGGTGCTTTATTATGGCGATATAAGGCGAGGGCGTAGAAATTGAACGCGCTGGGTGTAGGAATTGAATGCAGGGATGGATTTGGTGATAGGAAATTCGGTGCGTAGGAATTCGATGCGTAGAAATTTCACGTTTTATTAACAACTCTATTACTACGACACCGGACTGCGTGTTTAAAAATAAAAGCTGCAGCGTAAACTGACTGGCAGATAACCTTTAAACCGAATTCAGCGATCAAATTGCTCTTTACTTCTCCCTCCGCGCACGCGATATTGTTAATTACTTGTTTGTCACGATGTCGACCGCTAAACAGAGGCGCGAGTAAATTGCACGTGACATCCGAGTAATTCTAACTGTACACAGTGGCAGATAAAAATAGGTTATCCAATAGGTTATCGAAATCAACAACTCGAAATGTCTGCACAAAAATTATTTCAAGAAACACGATTTTCTTTCTGCTTACATTTATTCTGCAGGAAGATTTTAAAATAAGAAGCTGCAGGATATAATCGTAAATAGTTGAACAAGAGTTGAAAACGAGGTATCCGTTTCCGTTACGTCGGTTCGAAATGAATAGTAATTTAACGTCTATAAGAATGGATTTCGCGATAATTTCACAATTTCCGTGCACTCGTGCGTGTTTAATGCAATCCAACACAAGGACGCAACCGTGGAGAGATTCAAACCGAAGTACTCTTCTAAGTAATTCTCCACGCGTGGAATTCTTACGCGTCGAATTCCCCACGCACCGAATTTCTACGCATCGAATTTTCCACGCGCCGAGTTCTCAACGCGTCGAATTCTCCACGCACCGAATTCCTACGCAGCGAATTCCCCACGCACCGAATTCCGCACGCACCGAATTCCCCACGCACCGAATTTCTACGCATCGAATTTTCCACGCGTCGAGTTCTCAACGCGTCGAATTCTCCACGCACCGAATTTCTACGCAGCGAATTCCCCGAGTTCTCAACGCGTCGAATTCTCCACGCACCGAATTTCTACGCAGCGAATTCCCCACGCACGGAATACCTACGCACTGAATTCCGCACGCACCGAATTCTCCACGCATCGAATTCTCCACGCACCGAATTCTGCACGTGCCGAATTCCCCACGCGCTGAATCTCCCACGCACCGAATTCCTACGCGCCGATTTCTCCACGCACCGAATTCCGCACGCACCGAATTCCTATGCAGCGAATTCCCCACGCACCGAATTCCGCACGCACCGAATTCTCCACGCATCGAATTCTCCACGCACCGAATTCTCCACGTGCCGAATTCCCCACGCGCCGAATCTCCTATGCACCGAATTCCTACGCGCCGAATTCTCCACGCACCGAATTCCTCACGCACCGAATTCTCCACGCATCGAATTCTCCACGCACCGAATTCTAATTCCCCACGCACCGAATTCCGCCATGCACCGAATTCCTACGCGCCGAATTCTCCACGCACCGAATTCTCCATGTGCCGAATTCCCCACGCACCGAATCTCCCACGCACCGAATTCCTACGCGCCGAATTCTCCACGCACCGAATTCTCCATGTGCCGAATTCCCCACGCACCGAATCTCCCACGCACCGAATTCCTACGCGCCGAATTCTCCACGCACCGAATTCTCCATGTGCCGAATTCCCCACGCACCGAATCTCCCACGCACCGAATTCCTACGCGCCGAATTCTCCACGCACCGAATTCTCCATGTGCCGAATTCCCCACGCACCGAATCTCCCACGCACCGAATTCCTACGCGCCGAATTCTCCACGCACCGAATTCTCCATGTGCCGAATTCCCCACGCACCGAATCTCCCACGCACCGAATTCCTACGCGCTCGAGTTCATACCACATTGACTTTCAACCCATGGATCCCTACGAGCAATTACAACGTCGAACCTGTAGTTGCAAACTATATGCTATCGATTAATTTTCTCATCTTCGTCTCTGTTCCACACTTGTAATATACTCTCTGTGCAGTCTACTAAAGACGAAGTTTCTAGTCACTTCGAGCTAGTCTCGAAACAATAGAACACTGCGCGAGCGATGCACGAATACCACGTGCACGTCGGCAATCTGCACGCGTGCAGAGGCGGCGATGAGAAAGGGCCACTCAACCAGCTGCCGCTAACAACTTTAAAAGTTCCGGCTAAACGAGAAATTGCATTAAATTGCGTTTCACCGAGCCCTTTCGAGCGCGCCCCGGGATATATACGCGACGCTAATGCTCTTCGTGGTCGCGATTATCCTTCTTCGAAGCACCGAGTGTCATATTGCAACCTCGTTCTTCTTCATTCTTCAACGATTTACAACAGAGAGATACTTCAACGTTATGGTCTTTCGATTTTCTCTTGTCTTAATTTTCGGGACCTTTATTTGCTTTTTTGGAACTTTGTGGACTTTTAAAGTTTCGGTACTTTGGTTGGATTATTAAATGGAGAAACTTTGCAATTTTATAATTTGAGAGCCTCGTGAAAGTTTGAGAAGTGTATGTATAAAAGTGTTAAGTACTTTAGAGGATCGACTCGTTTCTGATTATGGATTTATTTATTGAATCTATGCAGGTGAGTTGTTAACTATTGAAACGAAATGACGAATGTTACAGAATACTTCCGCTATTACGTCCATATAACAATTAAATCGCTCCTCTAAATCAACCCGATTTCAATATCCTCAATTTCCCTTCATCGGAACGTAACGTCCTATTTACCACTGTTGGGCGTTTCAAATATTTATGCAATAAACAATAACCACAACCGTACACTGTAACGCGCAACATTCAATATCCGATCACAAACAACCCGAATTGCGATCGTTCAACCCCGAATTCACCTGTGCGATAACGAACAGTTTCATAGATTCGAGCCCGGCGCGAACATCTTCCATGTCGAACGGGGTTTAATCGAGACCCAAAAATCGATATCCTAGCGAGCGCGCTCCCATCGAATTCGGTTCGATCGCGACGTCGAAGGGTGGTTTTTAATCCACGCCACCGGGGATGAAAAGCGGGTTCGCCGCGGAAGTTTGGCCGCAGAAGCGGACGAATTGGCCCTCGTCGTTGACCGCGAAGCAGCTATTTTCGCTCGTAGCAGACACAGTCGAGAGTGGTCGAGTGAAAATAACGCTCGACAAACGGACTCGTTAAAAGTTCACGGGATTAGCCGTGCAGTCTATGCTCCGACTTAATGCTTAAACCTCGATCCCCAACAGGAATTCACGGTTATAAACACCATTCGATAGTTACAGCTGTTTTGTAGCTTTTCTTATTCGCGGTGTCCTCGTTCCTCCATTTCGATCGTTCGGCAATTTAACTTTACCGGACTGCGACTTCCGTGCAGACTAACGGACGTCGTTAACCATTTTCTATCGTAAAAGTTACGATTTGTTCGGATGGACTTCAACATCTGTGGCATCTTGTTTGCGGATTTCTGTTGGACTGCTTTTCAAGCGACTTCGTAATCGCTACTGTTTTATATGTTATCAAGCGACTTTTACGATGAGAAGTGTTTTTTAGTCTTAAAAAATGACTGATAGTGTTATCTGTTAAAATGACTGATAGTGTAACTAAGTATTAATTCTGTCTGATGTCATACTTCAAGGTTATACTTCATAGTACACTTTAAAGTCATATTTCATGTCATCCTTTAATGTCATGTTTCACCTCATACTTCGCGTCATACTTCAAGATCATACTTCATAATATACCAAAGGTCATATTTCATGTCGTACTTCAATGTTCTACTTTATCTCGTGTGTGCTCTCAAGTTGTACTTTCCGTCATACTTCAAGGTTATACTTCATGTCATTTCTCAATGTTCTACTTCATCTCATGTGTACATTGAAGTTATACTTTGTGCCATGCTTGAAGGTCATACTTCATAATATATCTCGAAGGTCATACTTCATGTCATCCCTTAATGTTCTACTTCATAATATATCTCAAAGGTCATACTTCATGTCATCCCTTAATGTTCTACTTCATCTCATACATACTTTGAAGTCATGCTTCATATCATACTTCAAGGTTATACTTCATATGATATGCGCTTTAAAGTCGACTTCATCCAAAATTCATTTTACTCATACTTCATGCGATATTCACTTTAACGTCACGTGTCAAACGACATGGATTTCATACTTCATGCGATATGCACTTTAAGGTCATACTTCATGCCATATGCACTTTAAAATAAAACTACGCAGTATGCACTTTAAAGTCATACTTCGTACGATGTGTACTTTAAAGTCATACTTCGTACGATGTGCACTTTAAAGTCATACTCCATGTGCTACGCACTTTAAAGTCATACTTCTGGTACTTGAAGGAGATGCTCCACTTCAAGGTCGCACTTGAGGATTTATAAAACGTGTATGTCGAGGGATGTAATAAATTGTGGCAGCAAATACCCGCGTGGAGATGATCAAGTTGCGGAGACAATTGGAGGATGTTAGAGGTGACATCGTTGACGGGAGACACGTGTCAAGGTACGATTCGAAACGGTGCAGACACGCTAATGCCCCTACTATTTGGTCTCCCCGCGTCGATTCCGCTTTGATCCACGAGCGTGTCGCGCACGCTACCTACAAGGCCAACATGATCCAGCACGGGAGTAATTTAACTTTCGCGGTTCGTGTGCGTGCACGCTGACATCTAGGAAAATTGAATTCACGGCCATGCTTTCGTCTCGCCGCTTCGTTACTCCGTTTTCCTCCCGCCGCCGATACGTCAAATAAACGCGTACCATCGACGTTTACGATTCGAACGAAACCCTCGATCGTTATTCCCTTTGTTCGACGTCACCAACGACACGTCTTCCGCGTAACCAAACAATAACGTTTAATTTTTAATGTTTCGTGGACGAAAGGCGCGGTATGATTATGAAAGCTCGTTTATTTTATTGCGCTCGTACGAAACAATACCTGACTGCTATAGGATCAAAGCGTAGAAATTCATTCGAATTTGATCAATTTTGTTGACTTCACGCTGCTGAAAATTGTTGAAAGTATCTTTGCGATCGCTTTAGTTCGTGATATAACTGTAATTAAAAAATGTTATTTTAGGTAGAAGTCCTACCACGAAAGTCCATATAAAGCAGACAGCACAACAAAAATCTACCGAAACAATTGATAGAAAACACTAAATGCTATTAATATAGTCATACGTTAATTTCTTAATGTACGTCTGTATCGAATAAAAATTGTGAGTCCCAAAGAAAATTGGAACCCAGTGCAGTGTAAGGAAACCAGGAGTAGAACCTTGATCCGACCGCATCTCGATAGGCAGCCTCCGAAGCTGTTTGTACACGAGTTGGCAGGAATTTACATGTAACCGATAAGCGACGAGGGTGGTTGGACCTGATCCGTAGGGGCAGATCCGTATCGTCGAAACGGCTCGATCGTTGGCTCGACTAACGAGCAAAGTGTCGGTGAAACATCGTCACGCGATCGTGCTCGGTCCCCCTCGAGCCTCCTCCTCGGCGTGCAACCCCGTTTTCTTAAACGTATGCATGACTCTCGACCGATTCGACCCTGTTAACATATAAATTGCCGCTTAACGGCGAGACAATCGGTTGGTTGGTAGTGGAGCGACTCGAAGGTGACGATAGGCGGTTAAAAGGGGAGAAGACATCGAGGGTGGTCGAGGAGCGGGAAAGGATTCGAGAGGAGACACGCGACGAGACAGGAGGCCCAAACAACGCGGACGTTCGTTTCGAGGACGAAGAGAAATAAGAAACGGGTCGCG